ATCCACTTTGTGGCTTGAAAGTGTGAAAACAATTAAGCCTTCTCAGCAATCAAAACAAATGCACCTTCAATCTCACTGCGGAGAACACGCCTGACAGTTACGTGGGGAAGCTTCTTTTCACAGCGTTTAGAGATCCACCCAAATTTCACTTCACTTTCCAAAAAACTCTGACATTTCAGAGAGGAGGGAGCTCAAATTTGCTCCTGCATTTGAAAATCTTAAATTCTAAATGGAATATGTTTGTTTGTTAAAGAACTACAGATTACACTTTTAGGAATCGTGAAGTTACTGAAAGGCGTTCACTAGAGACTTGTAAATCATTTTCTGAGTTCATTAAGTAAGACTCTAACATTTTTAAATGGCATTTAAAAATATTTAAACTCAACTTTAATGTGTTTATTTAAAACCTGTGAAAGACAAACACACTTACTCATTGCCATTCCTATTCCACGGTACTTTTAACCCTGATTTATTGCCCTTACTTTTTAATTAAAATGAAACTTCGAAAGTCAGCTAAAGCCTTTATTTCAAGGTTTTAGCATGCCTGACATTTTGGCCAATGTGTGAACTTAATACATTTTTAAAACAGGCCTGCCCATCACTTTGTCTGATTCAACAGCACTGAGTAAAATGAAATATATTGCAATATATTTTGCCAGGCACATTCTAGCAAGCCAGGGGCCAGCATCATGAAAAATAAACATTCTCCTGGAAGGAAATTTGGCATCAAGCCAACTCTCATACCTAAGCCTTTGTTTAACTTAGTTTGTGCTAGGACACTTGCATTAACTCAGGGGGAAGTCTCTCTCCTCCGTGAAGCCGTAGAAAAAAAGAGATGATTGCGTCACTCTCCCTCTATCATTTGGCTATAAATATTTGAAAATGATGTTCATTTTAATTTGTACTTTAACCTAGAAACCACAGCCCCGGATTCCTTATGTGGAAACCTGTGAGAGCCCTTCCTTGGCAACAGGACCGACAGAGACCACTCCCAAGCCCCCACACAAGCAAAACGGTTTGCAGGAAACACGGTGCGATTGCGTTTTCAAGTCACTGGGGCTTACGAACAGCACTTCCTGTAAAATATCACTTAAATGTCTCCATTGATCACCACAAAATAGCACAACCGTTACAGGTCTCAAAATGCAAGTTACTAAATGCATGGTTAACACTTAAAAAGCATCAGGACTACAAAGTAAACAGGTGACGTTTTAACGTGCATTTTGATGTTCAGTGTCTTGAAACTCAACAACAAAAGAGCAGCAATCAACAAAAAAAGAGCACCAAAAACATGTGTGCATTAGTCATGTGACTCATCCTCACAGAAGAGAGCTTACCGCAAATTTCAAAGGTCTGTAAGCATCAGAATAAAAAGAGAATTTTTTAAATTCTTTGTATATTTTGTCTCCTTTCCTTGGAGCGAATCTCTTGAAAGTTCTCTCCTTGGTCACAGGGTCTTCTTCAAGCTTGTAGTCGTTCATGCGCTCACAGACTTTATCCAAAAGGTCTGTTAGGAATGCCTCAGACTGGGCCAGGGCAATCTAGGAAGAAAAACCCAAGGTGACTTGGCTTAATGCTAACACGACTTCAGGGAACTTCCAGTGAGTGCACACGAAAACATACCACCCCCGTCAACGCAGACACGTACTACACAATATTTATACTTTCCTAATATTTAGACGATTATATTATTCACATAATGTAAGGGGTTATCTTAAATGCCAGTTTTAAAAAGCGCATATATACGAAAGTGGACAGAAAAAAAACTTGCGTTCAGACTAGAAACTGTACAACGATACCTACACACATACGATCATTTTTAAAAGTCATCGAACATGCAGAACAAAGCACGAAGCACGGAAAATGGCTCTTGTCCCTGTACTTGTCAGCGCGCGCGCGCTCAGGTCTGGTTGCAGGGCCCCCTCGCTCCGTGGAGAAGTTGGGGACGCCGGAAGTCTCGCGCTGCGTCGCCACTGCCGGCCCCTCGGTCCCCTGGCCGCAGCTGCGCGGCGCCCAGGGCTGGGTGAAGCGGGGCCAGAGGGACAGGGCTGCAGTGTCCCGCGCCCCCCGCCTCCGCGCAGCCCTCCGGGACCAGCTGGCGCGCGGCCGCCCGTCCCCGCAGAGCCCGGCGAGTGCGGCGGGACCCTCGGCCACCACCTCGGCCCCGGGCGCGGGTCAAAGAGCACCCTCGCCCTTGGTAACCCAGACAAAAACTTCGGGGCCGTCTAGACAGGTCAAGGTGCAGGACGCTGCGTCCCCGCGGCTCCTTCCGGAAGGGGCGTGGAGCCGCCAAGGGCGCCCGGACCGCGCAGCAGCCCGCGGCCTTTGCGGGCCTGCCCCCTCTCCACCCTCCGCTGATCAAAGTAGGAAGTTTGCATGACAACCGCGGAGAAACGGGCTGAATCGCAAATGAACTCGATTTCTGCAGTGTTGATATATCCAGCCTCCATTGTCCCCTTTCAGGCGCAGTATGAACCCTTCCGGTGCCAGCGACCGCGCGGCTTTCACAGGCGCTCGGGGCGCACAAAGGGTCTCCGCGCTTCACCGCCATCTGGCCGCAAATCTGATCTGCCAGAGCGGCGGCATTCACTTGAAAGCGGGCGGTGGGTGTCGTTGTGCTCTTTCAGTCTGGGGCCCATCATCACCCACCCCGGCATCGCCGCGGCCGGCCCCCAGTCGCAATAAGGAGCCAACTTTGTAAACACATTTGAAAAGAGACTTGGGAAGAGAGAGGAGTAGGAGAAACAGTGCCAGCGGTCCCCAGCAGCTGCACCTGCCACGTGCACAGGTAATGATCTCTCTCCTTCGGCCCCCAAACTGCTTTCGAGGCCCGTGCATTCAAGTTTGCACTTAAATGCTTTATGGAACTAGAATGCAACACCACATTTCCTTACTCACTAAAATATCAAGTTCTTAAAGCTCATTAATGTTTTAATTTTTTAAAATGTCTGCAGTCAGAACCTGTAACACAAGCGGCTCCAAGAGCACGCTGCGAACACTAGTTGCGTTCATCTGTGCTTGGACCGCGCCTTGCAGGCAGCGTCAGTGTAAAACACATGCAACACACAATACACGGATTCACAAACAAAACTGAGTATCTGTTACTAATTTATAGAAACTAAGGATTAAACATGTATTAACCACTGGAAAAAGTATGAAATGCAGAGATAAATTCTTAAATTACAATTAATCAACGCAGATCATTAACAGAAAGATTATGGGGCGCTCCCCACCATGCGTGTGTTTTAAGTATTTCATCCTTATCTGATACAGACAAAAGATGTTCACAGTAGTTTCTGGGTGTCTGTCCACAGAGCAGCATTTTACTTGAAAGTGAAGAGTAGAATCTGTCATTTAAAAAATCTGACTATAATCAAGAAATTCATAATCTCTCCCCCTTCCTCCTTCCCCTCTCTTTCCCCCATCTGAAAAGTAAACACACTTGACGATTGGGGGAGGGGAAGACAGAGGTGCCAGGAGGGTGAGTGTCTGATGGCTGGGAGAAGGCTTCTAGCAACTCAGCCCTCCTGGAACACCAAACTCCATCCTAATATAACGCGTAGTTCACCTTGAGTAGGGGCCACTCTAGAAACTATTTTTAAAAATTGACCAAACATTATAAGCTGTTTGCAAAAATTGCTGAGCATAAAAGTTTTGATGAAATTACGATGTTCATGTGTGGAAGGCCCTTCACAGCCTACTTCCTGGTGTTTTGAAAACAGTCCCCCTTGTTAAAACTTTCCACCAAACGGTGGATTGTTTTTCTTATTTTGAAAGTATAATTTTACATATTTGAATATAGTACTATTGTGCCTATTTTAACACAAATATGTTACTTCAAGGGATCAACGTGTGAATTTCTACAATTTTGTAAGTCTATGAAGGCTGGCTGGCTTTTTGATGTAAGTAGCCAGCCTTTGGAGTAAACATTCTTTAAAAGCAGAAAATGTTTGCTGGTGGATAGCTGAGAAGAACACTACGTGACAATGTTCACTAGACACAGGATAGGGAAAACAGCCAATATGAGACTAGTAGAGTTCATTTTACAGAACATTAAAAAAATATTTGATCTTAAAGTCCGAAAGCATCAGATTTTTTGAGAAAATACTTAAGAAAAAGATGCATATACGTTGCAGCTCTTTATACATTAAAATGTGCACGATTAGAGTTTAAAGTGATACTACTTAGCTAACTACCTTCAGTAAATTTAAAGATTGTTCATAGAATAATTGAGCCTTTCCCCCCTTAAAGTGTTTTGATTATAAGAGTGCAGTAGGTATTGGGACAAGTGGAATAAAACTAAGTTTCTGTACTGTGAGGATTTTGAACAGTACTCGTCCATAAAGCTTCTCCTATTGTAATCTTACAGGAGGGCTCCCTCTGCCTCCGAGGACGTCTCGTCTGGTCTCGGAGACACTAACCTCATCACAATGTGAATGAAAAGGGCTGCCATCCTTGGGTCAGCAGAAAACCAAGTCACTGGCACACAGTTTTCTTATCTGCCATTGCTTTTACACGCGGACTTGTTTGGGACAAGTTATAGATATAAAATGGTCCCTGAGAATTTCATTACTATCTTGGAGGAGCCCTATCAAAATAAACCCCAACTTTTCCCAATTTTGAAACCCACCTAAGACCGCAAAGCAAACTCAGTATATATAGTGTCCGTCCTTCCACCTTTAGGTTTGCTCCAACCGTGTGTTGTTACGTGAGCGGTGGACTGGGCTGACGATACCCATACCCAGCGTTAAAATGGAAGAAAGGAGTCGAAAGTTCTGGCTTTGGTTTCTCTAGAAAACCGGGGCTCTGGAGTTTATTACAGACCACTATGACAGCACTTTAATAACAGCCAATTACAGCGTGTTGCCCACGCTTGTTCATTACTGTGTCTCTGTTAATCTTGCAGTAAATTTCTTGCCTGATAGCTATCGTAGTCGGGCAGGAATACAATTATGTTACAGCACACAATTGGAGGTGAACACTCGTGTCGTGGTGTGTCTGTCTCTGCCATTACAGTCTGACGATCGCCAATAAACTTCGCTCGTCTTTATCATTAGTTTGGAGTGTCCTGCAGATATGAAACCAGTACTTAACTTTTTTAGGGACTGATAATTAATTTCACATTATTGCAAAGATTTTCTTTCTAGAGGTTCAGTTGATGTAAAATTTTAATTGCATTGTAGCAAATATTGCATCTAGTTTAATCACTAACTTTCCATCCATAAAAATTGAAATCACTGCTGATATTAGTTAAAAGTCAATATTTAGAAGTGAAAATTCAAAGCTCCTTTGCTCTAGGCTACAACAGGGGAAGTATGAATTCAGAAACTCTTGTAAGCTGATGAGATATGTAATTAGCTTTTATGTTAATTGACTGCTATGAGTTTGTTGTATGACACTTCTTCATATAATATGCAAATAGCATTGACTGTTTAGTTTTATTAGACAATATAATTAGAAATCCAAAGGAGCTCATTTCTATGAGGAATAATAAAGGTTGGTAGATTTCCAGTGTTCTGTATATGAGAAAAAATGAATTGCATCTGGACTTAATCAATAAGAGAGGTTTTAGGTCACCTTTTATGGGGAGCCAAAAGCAGCTAACGTATAACAGAATTAACATTAGTGTTTCCAGGTGCCATAAATTATGTTTAAACAGGTGAATTTGTGCTGTCCATAAAACCTCGGGGGAAAAACACAAAGATTTCAGCGCAATTGACCACAAACAACACAGTACATTTATGAAAGTAACATCCAAATTTTGCCTCCTATAATTTGAATAATGGAAATAAGTCATTCATTCTGCAAGTATTTCGTATTACTTATAGACATATATCAATAATGTATATGCTTAGGTTGTAAAAAGAATAGTAATAAAAGTAAGAACAATGTGATTTTGGAGGGCAATTTTTCCAGAATTCAATCACATTTTTTATTCTGGAGCCTGTTTTCAACTTAGTGACAAAACAGGAAAAAAAATGCTCGATGGATCAGCGTCAATGATTTCCAACTGGGGGTCCTCTAGCTCAATTTGACTTTATCCTGAAGTTAAAAACCATTTTCCTTTCATTGTTGAATACAAAATTGTCACTGCCATTTGTTTTCCCATTTTAAAAAGTATTCTGCTAGTTAAAAAAAAAAAACTCTTTAATTTTCAAACATTTTAGATAAAATAAAAAAAAATACAACTACCCACATGAAAAATGCTATAAATTTTCAACCTCTGTTTAAAATCTTCTCAGCAAGGACTTTGGGCACCTGCTCCACGCTGTGCTGCTGGCTTTGCCCTCGGGCCAGCACAGCTCGGAAGGATGTCGCTGGTTTCCAGAAAGCACCTGACAGGGAAAAGTGAGAGCCTGAGAGGACAGAGGCGGCAACATTGCAGCATGAAGGGAGCACGGTGGGATTCACTCATCCCTTCGACAAATATTTACTGGGCCCTTCCGATGTCAAATACACTTCCCCAATTCAGACTTTTTAA